TTTGGACCGAAAGTCTTAAGTGATTTTCAAGACCCTGTTCTTAATACCAATTATTAGAAATGTAGGCTGAGATCAAGAGGGGGGGGGGTGAATTGATCTTTTAAAACTTTTTCGCACTTTTAAGAATACAAATTATCTATTTCAAAGATTAAGAATTCCAATCAAATACTGATCAAAGAAAATCAAGCAGTTTTGTATAAGACATAAACAAAATTAAAGAGTGTAAAAGAATGGAGAAAGAAACACAAAGATTTATACTGGTTCACCCAAACCACAAGGCTACATCCAGTTCTTAACCAAATTCCAGTTGAGTTCTACTAGATTAATTATGTTTCTGATTACAAACCCGAATCACAAAACACTCAACCTGCACCAAGAACCAAATTCCAATTCTTGCACCAAACCTTCACCAAGAACAAAGTTTCAGTTCTTGAACCAACCTGTAGCCAAATTCTAGCTACATAACCAGTACCCAAAACTTCCAGACACCACTCAATACAGTTTATGAATTACAGAAAATAAAGAGAAGAAATTAGAACAACCAAACCCGGTTATGCATATGCAATTCTTCCTCTGCAGAATGAGTTTCTTCACATGCAAGAATGTAAAAATGCCTCAAGAAAGAACTTTGAAAAACTTCACAAAAACTTGCGCACTTCATCCTTGAAAAGATCTCTATTGATTGCTTGATTGATATCTAAAAGTTGGTGATTTAAAATGTTGAAGCAAATCTGTTTATATAAAGACTTTTTCTAACAAACTGGTTTAATTAATGGGTTAAAACTTCTTTTAATCGATTATTAATTCTTGATTAATCGATTAAAACTTCTTTTAATCAGTTAAAATGAGCTTGACCATTTTTCATATTTATTTTAACTGATGCAAATGCAATTTAGTTGATTAAAACAGTTATACAAAAATTTCCTAAGTTATTTTAATCGATTAATTCGCAATTTAATCGATTATAATACTACCAAATAAATTATCAAAAACTCCATAAGTGATTTTAACTGATAAAAACATGATTTAGTCGATTAAAACATTTAACAAAAATTTCACTAAGTTGATTTAATCGATTAATTTGATGTTATATCGATTAAAATTCTGGTAGAATACTTTTTCAAATCATCTCAAGTGATTTTAATCGATTAATTTGAAGTTACATCGATTAAAATACTGGTAGAACACTTTTCAAATCATCTCTCAAGTGATTTTAATTGATTAATTCGAAGTTACATCGATTAAAATACTGATAGAACACTTTTCGAACATCTCAAGTGATCTTAATCGATTAATTCAAAGTTATATAAGTTAAAATACTGACAGAAGATTTTTAAATATATCTCTAATGAAAATAATTGATTAATTTGAATGTGCATCGATTAAACCAGATTACAGTAAATGTTTTAAGTGGTTTTAATTTATTATTTCAAAAATACATCAGTTAAAATTCTGTTAGGAATGTTTTCAACTGATTTTAATCGATTAATCTTAAAGTGTATCAATTAAATCTTTAGTCTTAAGAACATATTAATCGATTAAACTGATTTTTAATAGATTAAAACGTTTTAGAGGCATTTCAAATGATGAACCCTTTATGCAGCAAAGAAGAATGAATGATTATACCTATTAATATTGATGCAGACTCACTAATCACTACACCCTTTAACTCAAAGAACTTTTGACTTCACCAAATCTTCAAGATAAGTATCTTCATAAGAATCAATAAGATGTTCATCACTTTCAGATGACATTGATTATAAGGAAACATTTTCCCCTGTTTCGAAGAAAGATTCCTTTAGAATTATATAACATTAGTAGCTCATTATGATCTTGAGTTGCATCAAATCAATTTAAAAACTATCTTTCTGAATGAAGATTTAGAGGAGGATGTTTATATGGATCAACCGATGGGGTTTATTGAAGAAGGAAGAGAGCACATGGTGTGTAAACTTAAGAAATTAATATATGGACTTAAACAAGCTTTTCAACAATGGTATCTTAAGTTCAATGATACTATTCTGTCATTTGGATTTAAGGAAAACACTGTTGATCGGTGTATATATCTGAAGGTCAGTGGGAGCAAGTTTATATTTCTGATTCTATATGTTGATGATATCTTGCTTGCGACTAATGATTTTGGTCTATTAAGTGAGACTAAGAAGTTTCTCTCTAACAACTTTGAAATGAAAGATATGGGTGAGACATACTATGTGATAAGAATAGAAATATATTGTGATAGATCATAAGGACTGTTAGGTTTGTCTCAGAAAACATATTTAATAAAGTTTTAGAGAGATTCAGAATGGAAAAATGTTCAACATCTCCGTTCCAATACAGAAAGGAGATAACTTTAGTCTCATGCAATGTCCAAAGAATAACTTGGAACAGAAATAGATGGAAAACATCTCTTATGCATTTGTTGTTGGGAGTTTGATGTATGCTCAAACATCTACGAGGTCAAATATTAGCTTTGTAGTTGGTATGCTGGATAGATATCAGAGTAATCCTGGAATGGATCATTGGAAAGTTGCAAAGAAAGTCTTAAAATACTTACAAGGAACAAAGAATCACATGCTTAATTATAAGAAATCTGATCACCTTAAGGTGATCGGATATACAGATTCAGATTTTGCTGGTTGTATGGATATACGAAAGTCTACATTTGGTTATGTGTATCTTTTAGCCGGAGAAGCGATTTCATGGAAAAGTGTGAAACAATCTGTCATTGTTGCATCCACCATGGAAGCTGAATTTGTGGCATGCTTTGAGGCCACAGTTGAAGCTAATTGGTTGCATAATTTTATTTTAGGACTTGGAGTAGTCGATAGCATTGCCAAGCCGCTGAAAATTTATTTTGATAATTCCACATTAGTCTTCTTTTCTAAGAATGACAAGTATTTCAAAGGTGCTAAACATATGAAATTGAAATACTTTATCATTAAAGAAGAAGTTCAAAAATAGAGAGTGTCAATAGAACATATTAGCACTGATCTTATGTTGATCCTTTAATAAAGAGATTACTATCCAAGTTGTTTGCTGACCATATAATGAATATGAGCATTATGTTTACTAGTAGTGAATGTTGAATGTTAATGTTATTATTAATGCTTATGTGACACTCTGAGATCTTTAATGTATAAGTTTCTAAAATTTGTATTTTCTTCTTTATTTATATGCATGCAAATTATGATGAAGAAAACAAATTATGTTATTATTATTAAGATGATATTATGTTTGATCCCATTATGGACTTCTCATTATAAACTATCAGGTAAACATGAAAAGAGAAAGAAAGACAAAGAGATAGATTGAGAAAAAAGAGGTTGGAGTTAAAGAACAGACACTCATGGATCAATGTTAGTCTTCTTATTATAATTCATGTATTCATGTATGTTATATTGTGAAAATTAATAATTTAAAGATCTTGTAGCATAGTTTTCTAGAATGAATTAAAAACGTAGAAAAACTACAAATTAACTTACAAGTAGCACTTAGGCACTATCCCTACCTGTCGTACCTTGTTGTCATCCCTGGATACGAGTCTTAAATGATGATATTGGGTCAAAGGTTCTAATAAGTGGCGGAAGGTTGACGCCAGGAATCATAATAGTGAGACTAGTGGTAAAGGTGACTATTTATAAGCTATAACGAAACAGTGGTAAAGTTTATTGGAAGATAAAGAAATACGTTACAATTTTAACTTCTCACAATTTAATCATAATTAAATATATTTATATGTATATTTATAATTTTGGTCTTCTACCCTTTTATATTTATCTATTATTTATTAATAATATATTATTACACCTTCTAATATTATTTTTCAAGAACTAGTAATGAATGATCGGAAAGTGGGTAAATTAGGAGAGGATATAGGTGTTATGGATGATACACATTCTATTATCTTGTATAATTACTACAAAAAACTTCATAATTATTAGAGGTTTATTTTCAGCAGTTATAAAAACCGTAAAAATTAAAAGTAATTTATGACAAAAAATTTAACTGACACAATAATTATAATTAATTTTAATTTTTTTATTTTATTTTTATTTTTATTTATTTTCATTTTTCCTTTTCTAATTCTCTCACTTTCTTCTACTTTCTCTTTCTCTCTTTGCCATCTCTTTCTCTCTTTACCGTAACGTTTCATCCTTCACTCGTAACGTTTCATCCTTCATCTGCAAGGTCACATATCCTCTCTCAATCACCAATTCAGGTTTAATCCTTCTTACGTTTTACTTTTCAATTTTACATGTTTGTGATTTTTGTGGAAGATTACAAGAGTTTTATCTATCATTTGTTCTTCAATTTACAGTATATGCTAATTTCTCCTTCTCTTCTCTTTGTGACGCATGACAATCTACATTCAACCATTCTTTGTTTTTCCTTAACCTCGGGTACAAAACTTTTAATATCATTTCTTGTTTCGTTGTATTTTGTTGTTGTTCTGTTTGTATTTCGAGCCACCGTGCGAATTATTGAGTCACTGTTAATTGCTGTAGGACATATTTGTAGAGTTTGTGACAAACCATTAACTATTTTGGAATGACTAAGTTTTGATTTTCGATTGTCTTTCAGGTGTTCGAAGGATTGCATGAAAGAAACTGAAAAGTGATTTGGTTGCTGAAGGCATACTTTCTCTCTCATTCTAGAATCAATTTGCATTTCAATTTGTTTTTATCAGGTTTTGTTTTTTAATCTTCCAACTTGGGATCCTAAGAGTGCATTTTTTTTAACACCTTTGTCCCAGGACATACACTTAACAACAAATGGGCCAAGATGCTAGGTTGTTTTTATCACTTTGAAGCTGTTGTAGAAGAATTAAGATAGTTATGGATTAACTGATACAATTGCTTGGAATTGGTTTATGTTTTGAATGTAATAAGTCTCAGTTTTTGGTCCTGCATCCAGTTTCCTCAACTCACTGGCTAGATAGATACTATATCTAGTTTACAATAATATGACTATTGCTGGCCTTACTGCTTTTTTGACTCATGGTGAGAGTATATGTTTCATTTAGACCAAGGTTTAAGCTGTCAGTGACAGTAATTGTAGCTGTAACATCTAGGTTTTTGCGGTCCAACGACTGCATTGCCTCTGCCAACAACCACATTGTCTGCAATATCAAGGATCACGACAAAACTGCAACCACAACCACGATCACAAGTTCACAACTATCATTTAAAACCTTTGTTTCGACAATTTTTAATGAAAGAAAATATCAAAATGCTTTAACTGCTGAAACAGTCACCACACTATAGCAATGCTCAAATAGTCAGCAACACTGTAGTATTGCTCAATGGGCTAGGCTCACAGTCAGTCACACAGTTTTTTGAAGAAATATATAAAGTAGTTGGAAAATATTTTTCTAAAGTGATAGATAAATTTGGACTGAGGAAAACCATTTTCCTAGTTTTCGTGTTTGTTTTTCACGAGGAGGCTTTTTTCGTTATTTTTCTTTCCTCGTTTGAGTTTGTATTTTTAGTTAAGTTTATATAGCACCTCACTAGTTTTCTTGGAGGTTTAAAATTTAAGTTGTCTTGTGTTGATAACTAGCTTGTATGTCTGTAGGTGGTTAACTTTTTCACGTGGTCTTGTAGAATAGGTACTGAACATGAGAAGTTTGGTTTTGAGTTTGGAAGCTTGCGTCCTATGAAATATGAGCAAATAGCAGAATTGCTGAATGGCATTGCCGAGAGATTTGACTGGGATAAAATAATGGAAGATGATAAAATTATTGGACTGAAACGTGTTTGTGAAGTGTCTTTGAGAATGGGAAACAAACACAGAGGAAATGTGACTGAAGTGAAGTGAAGTGAAGGAGAAGGTGTTCTGTTAGATTATTTATACAATGCTCTTTCTAGATTTATACAAAACTCTTTAGACCTTTTGTCCTCTATCAATTTAAAATTAATAGCCAACACATTCATGTTTTCACCCCTTTGATGCAGGTAAAGTTCTTGTCATTTTATATAGTTGTACTCCTCTTCATCACTTTCTTCACTTTCCATCATATTTATCACCATAGCTCTCCAATTCTACTACTTACATGAGTCTAAATGGATTGTAACTTCAAGTGAGAGTGTCCACACTAGGCCATTCTACTTTTTAAATGAGTGATTTTTATAAAGCCTCCATTCACTGCTAAATATAAAACTTACAGATTTTTCTGACTTGTTTAAAGCCACTTTGGAACTAATCAAAGGTAGAATGGTTACGTCTAAACACTAGTGCAAAAATGGGCTTTTATGTCAGGTATTTAGGGCTTTTTACGTCGTATTTAAGACTGACGTTAAAACGGGAGTGTCGCCGCCCTCCAAAAAGGATAATGGCGGTCGGAGCGACGCGATGGTTTTCCGACTCTTATTTCTTTCGTAATCGCGTTTTTTATTGGTTACAACGCTTCTAGCTGTCCGATAACCGGGCTAACTTTAAAGCGAGGTTTTCGAAAAGATGTCTTTGGGTTGTTCGATAACCGGGCTAACCCTAAAGACTCATTTTTATGGGTTCTATGGAGTCGCCACCGATGTTTTTATCGGAAACATCGGAAAAGGGGTAAAAAGGCGTTGGTTTTTGAAAAACCAACTTTGGTCCGTTAAAACCAGAGTTGGGTAAGGGAGTTAGTTACGTGTAAAAGGGGTATTAGCCCTTTTACGACGCCCCTTTCGGGTTCCCTATGACAGGCCAGCTTTATTTTATTGATAAATGAACTAGAAAAATATGCTTTTGCCCTTTTTATTGTGCGGAAATTAAAAGTATGACTACATGACCCTAATTTCTATTGCAGCATTTATAATTAAAGCAATAAAAGTAAAGAGACAGAAATTGCACCTCCGAAGCAAGCTCTTTTTGTATTGATATTAAAAATAGGTGCTTTTTGGCAGCCCTTCACTCTACAAGACGTCGGAATACTTCTCGAACGCCGAAAAAACACTCTTAGACACTCAGAAACTCTGGAAATTGCGTCGGAGGGATTCTAGAGAGAGGTTTTAGAGAGAAGGGAGAGCTTTGAAGCTTGAGGTGTGTGGAAATGAGGGGAGGGAGGCCCCTATTTATAGTTTTTCGCGCCTGACAGGTCGAGACCGCCGTCTGGAAAGTCCAGACCGCCGTCTCGTTCATGACAGAGGGTCGAGACCGCCGTCTGGAAAATCCAGACCGCCGTCTCGACTGGGCAATAATCGAGACCGCCGTCTGGAAAACCCAGACCGCCGTCTCGACTTTTGCAAGAATCGAGACCGTCGTCTGGACAATCGAAACGGCGGTCTCGTCCTGGCGTTGAGACGAGACGGCGGTCTGGTCCTTCCAGACGGCGGTCTCGTCCCTTCAGGGCGAGAAACCTTATTTTTCGGGCCAAAAAACCTCCCTATCTTAGTACGGGAGCCTAATAGTCTCTCCTAGTGGCTTGTTAGGCTTCGGTCGTCTTCAAATAGGAAGCTTTCTGACTTTATTGTGAGGCCGGACAAGATTTGGGGTCTACAGGGAGACGTAAATTTACGTCGGACCCTTTAGCCCGACGTAATTTTGCGTTGCATATACCACTAAATAGACGTAAAAACTTTCAAAAATTAAAAAAAAACAGCAAATTTACGTCGCATATTGGTATACGCGACGTAAATTTACGTCACATATACCAATATGCGACATAAATTTGCTGTTTTTTTTTTAAATTGGGTTGATTCTGTTTTACAACTAAAACCTGCAAATATATATTACAACCAGACAGTCCAGAGGTTCAATTTTCTTTAACTAGTAAATTAAAAATATAATATTATATAATTCAAACTACATAATAAAACAATATAATACAAACATACAAACTAAAAAAGCTATTACAAACTAAAAGTTAATACAAACTAAGCTACCTAAACTACATAGTACACACAATATAATATGAACAAGAACTTAAAAAATTATGTACTAGAATTGTTGAACAAAAAATTTTGCCCATTGTTCTCTAATTTGTGTAATATCATATTCTGGTAATGGAGATGGATCTTGAAATACCTGAAACATTAATTTGACTCTTGTAAACATGTAACATGAAGAAAGTTAAATAAACTTAACTAATGTTAAAAGCAATTACCTTCGTCCAAGAATCAATTATACCCGCACAAACTATGGCTCTCATCCAATACATAACATAGTAACCACATTCAAACGAGTCTCGTTTGCTTATTACACTCGAAATGATGAAAAAAACATAATGTTATTTTCAAAATTTAAATACAAACAATAATTATGGTATTCACTTATATAAATAAGTTTCTAACCTTAGGATAAATGAACTGCAAAGTCTTTGTTCTAGGTTTTCCACTTAGAACATTAGTTCTAGACACAATTCTAAGTGAAAAGAGTCATATATTATTCAATATGTATTTACAATTTAAAAACATAATTAATAAATAAAAGATAAAGTTACCCTTGTAATAAGCTTTTCATTTCTTGACTCGGTTTCCGATGTAATGAACAAAACCACACCACAGATGTAATCCCGGGTATGATTACAATTAACTCGCCAATGGGACCTACATTGTATGACATAAAAATTAGTTACAAAAATATAAATTAAAATACAAATTAAAATACTAACCCTTCAATGTATGGAGCCAAATATATATGTCTTTTTGAGTCACTCATCCATGTTTGCATATATTGTTGGATTCCAACCTTTGTATTTCCAGATTTTTGGATGGATTGAGGCTCAATAAATCCGTATACTTCGGATTTTTCTTGTTCCACACTCAATTTGTCCATGTACCTAAAACAATTAATTATAAGTTGAATATAATTATTATAATCTTAGAAACATAAATGAGAATGACTTACATTGCCCACAATTGTATGATGGAAATGTTTAACATGCAATTTCCCCCAGCAATTTCTAAAGCATCGGGCAAGGAAATGTATAATGGAACACTGGAATTGTTAATTCCAAACACTCTAACATCCCATTGTATCTGACACGGTCTCTTCCTCAACCGTGGTAATATGGTCCACAACATAGAGATGGGATCATCATCACATTCTGTCAAATCCTCATCAATAATAGGTTGTTTTTTATGCTTAGCACGACGCAAGTCCTCCTAAACAAATGATAATAATTAATTAAACATTTATATAATTATAATACTAGAAAAGAGAAAATAGACAATATATATATATATATATATATATATATATATTACCTTGGTCTGTGCTGATAGTGGCATAACCAAACGTCTTGGCCAAGCCAAGAATGTCCCGCTTGCCTGCCCCACTAATTGAATCTCTTCATTAGGAAAAGGCACTGGAGCATTAGCATCATGAACTTCATCAACTACTACTCGTGTCCAGTATGCCTGTAGAGGGACACCATGGATGGTTAAACCACCCTCAAAAACTCGACCAATAGCCACTAGACGCGGGGGGTCATCTTCAACATATAACTCATACTGGTGTGATGCATCAGTCTGAGTATATTCTCCTGAAGGATCAGCAGCAGTAGCAGCACAACTCCCTTTAGTGCTGACTCGAACAACATCATGTTCAATTGTTTTGAGGTGTTCCTTGAGTCTGTTGCTGAGAGCGGGCGAGAGATTCAATTTTCTCATCAAACTCTTGCTGCAAGGACTGCCTTATTTGATTTAACTTTTCTTCAAACTGCATCTCCATTTTATGCAAGGCCTCCTGGCTGCAAGAGTCAGTAGTGGTCCTTCGTGATGTTGGACCAAAGTAATCACGAAGGCCCCATGATCCACCAGCACCACGCACACGTCGTGAGTAATCTGGTTTTCCTATGGCTGTCGCCAATATATCTTGTCGACCATGAGGAATAAATGATCCTTGGGTGCTCTGCTCAACTAAATCATCCTACAACACATTAACAATAATTAAGTCATACACTAACTTTCACATTAGAATCAATTCAAATTGACATTATAACTTACGATTTTTCGAGCAATGATTCGTGCGGACTCGAAGTCATTTGTCCATCGATTTTGTCCGGGCTGCCTTCCACATCTCATAGCGAGGGGTGGAGATGCAAGGTCAGTAGACTCAACTCCTGCTGACTCTTCTCTGGCTTTCATGAGACGTTGCTCCAATAATGCATACCCTCCTCGTGACAATACATGGGGTGCATCATTTAACCTCTGACGTTGTTGGGCAGCACATCTTTTATCCTGGCAAGAGGGGTCCATTCGGCTGGCACAAAACTGTAACCAATCCTCCTCACTAATTTGATACTTTAGACAGGGAGATTCATCTTGAAACTTTCCAAATACATACTCCCGTGTCAGGAAAGTCTTAAAGTCCCTCCATCTAATGGCAATAGAGGACAAAATCTTCTTCCTCATCACCTCAGTGTTAGGAACATCAAAATTTTGCTGTGAAATGACCAATAAATGTTAAATTCAATTAATAATGATATATAAAGTATTCAACAATGTCGCCGCCGTCAAAACGAGGCGGTCGAAGCGACGCGATGGTTTCGACCCTCTTTGATTTTCACGTTTTTATGGGTGGTTACAACGCCTTTAGGTTGTCCGATAACCAGGCTAACCTAGGGGCGAGGTTTTCGAAAGGGCGTCCTTGGGTTGTCCGATAACCGGGCTAACCCAAGGACTAACTTTGAAGGGTTCTGTGGAGTCGCCACCGATGTTTTTACCGGAAACATCGAAAAAAGGAGTTTAAAAGGCGTTGGTTTTCGAAAAACCAACTTTGGTCATTAAAACCAGAGTTGAGTAAGGGAGTTAGTTACGTGTAAAGAGAGTATTAGTCCCTTTACGACGCCCCTTTCGGGTTCCCTATGACAGGCCGTCTAATTATTAATAAAT